CTATATTCCCTATGTAAATTTCATCCCTGTGACTCATTTATTTTGTAACTGGAATTTTGTACCTCTTAAATTCTCTCACCTGTTTCTCTCCTCCCATTTCCTACCCCCCTGGCAACCACCAGTTTGTTCTCTGTATGTTTGTGTCTGTTTCTGTTTTGTTATGTTTGCTCATTTGTTTTTTAGACTTCACGTATAAGTGAAATCATACAGTATTTGTCTTTCTCTGCCAGACTTATTCCACTTAGCATAATGCCCTCCAGGCCCATCCATGTTGTCACAAATGGCAAGATTTCATTCTTTCTTTTTGTGGCTGAGTAATATTTCATTGTATACATACACCCACAATTTTTTTATCCATCTGTTGTTGGGCACTTTACTTGCTTCCATATCTTGGCTGTTGCAAATAATCCTGCTATGAACACAGGGGTGCATATATCTCTTCAAATTAATGTTTTTGTTTTCTTCAGAAAAATACCCAGAAATGGAATTGCTGGATCATATGGTAGATCCATTTTTAATTTTTTGAGGAACCTCCATAATGTTTTCCTTAGTGGCTGCACCAGTTTACATTCCCACCAACAATGCTCAAGGTTCCTCTTTTTCCACATCCTTGCCAACACGTGTTACCGTGCATTCTTCTTAAAACAACAAACGAATCGAGTTGTTTTGATGTATTTTTCCCACAACTGAGTGCCACACAGCATCCTTCACTGTGGCCTCTCACTCTCACCAAGACCGTCATTTCTTACAGAACTCTGCCTGTCTGTGGGCTTCTTTTGGTTTTTCCAGGTTCTCTCGTCATCTTTTGATATTCATACTGTTCTTTTCTGAAGCACCCTTCGTGACATCTTACCTGTTCTTACTCAGGTTTAGCTCTTCCAGAGTCTCATTTGTCTGTGATTTTTGTTTGCCTGTAATTTCAGAATTTGCTAATGTCTGTATCACTGCATCCTGCATTTTTCACCGTGGGAGCCATTTCACTTTGCAGTTGACTTGTATTGTTTTCACTGTTTTCCTTAGGACTGTCAATGAGAAACTGACTGAAAAGACTTTAACTCAGGACCCAGCGGACCTCACTCCGCTAAAGAATGTTCAGCTGAGGGGGGCCCCATCAGCTGAAAGAATTCGAGTTACTGCATCTCTCTGGTGATGGGCCTCACACAACTTAGGCCTTTTAAAAACATGGCAGTTTTATGTAATACTGCTAAGAGTTTGCCACCCTAAACCCTGGTGCCAAGACTCTTAGCTGCAAATACAGCTGGAGTTTACATTTTAAGATCAAATTACCGTATTGTTGTCTGCTGGGTGATATTCAGCCATACTTTTGTCCTAAATGAAAGTAATTACTTTAGCAATTTACAGGCTGTCCTATTTTCTGTCTGTCTTTAAACACGAATTTTGTAACTTACAAAAATATCTATTTATCCTCATTGTCAAAGTTATCTCATAGCTCAAAAAAAAAAAAAAAGGCCTAAGACAAACACCGGATTAAATAACATTTACTAAGTTTGCCATGGTGCATCCTAACAGAGCCTCTTCTTTGAAAGGTACTCTCTTTTCTCCTCCCCCATCCAAAGCCTACTTCCCACCTGCAGGAATCTTTCTGTTAACTTGTAGCCTTCACCGTGCTCTTTGAACTGGTACAGCAGGAGTCCAGATAATTTAACATTGCCTTCTGTTACTCTCTTGATTATTTCTTGGGTATGGTATTTTCTCCATTACCAATCTGCAGAAGCCTTGAGATTGGAGTCAGTCGTATTACTCCTCTCTGCCCTTCATGTCACTTCATAATATAAATCGTTGAATCATGAAAGGCCTTTCTTCCCCCAAGGACCTTGACTTTAAGCTGTTAATTAAACATTCTTTTCTTTTGTTCGTAGTTCAGCTATCACATAATTATAGAATTTTTTAAATGTTCAGACTGGAATTCCTGTGCCATGAAGAGTTTTGAAGACGGGCTTTCTTGATATATCCAGAAGAGGATTGGATGCCAGAAACTGGAGATATCAGTCAAAGGTAGCTTGTTAAAGACAGTTCTGTTGTTTCTTCTGATGATAAAATTAATATATGCCCTTTAAGCAATCTAGGCAAGCCTAGGGAAGAGAATAGAGATGATCCATTATCTCACTACTCAGAAATAACTAACCACTGTTAACATTTTGGTTTTTCTCCTTCCATTTTCTCCTCTCTATGCATGATGTTAGTTTTTTCACTTAACCTATCATGAGTATCTTTCCATGTCAATAAATGTAGATCTGTGTCAGCACCTTTAACAGTCACATCGTAGTCCATTGCATACATGGACCATGTTTAATTTAACCCACCCCCCCTATAAGGTACATTTGTTTAGAATAGTGTTTTGCTATTATACATAATACTGTGATGACCATCTTTAATCCCCTACCCCTCACTTGCCCCTCCCTCCTTTCCTCTCCCCACTGGTAGCCACTTAGTTTGTTCTCTATATCTGTGAGTCTGGAGAAACTGAATTTTTAATTTAAATTACTTTAGCCACATGTGGCAATGGCTACTGTATGGAATAGCGCAAGTCTAGATCAAGAAGGACCTCCTTTACCATCCTAAGGAGTTAGGACTTTTTCCCGAGTGAAAGAGAAGAATTGGGAGGTGGGGAGGTGTCATGATTACTGTTTGTTTTGGAAAGATTACCCTAGTATGTAAGTTTGTAACCCTTTTCGGTCCCAGAACTCTGAAACTTGACTTCTTGCCAGGCCCTTTCCTAGGGGCTGCCACGCTGGGAATGCAGCCAAGCAGACCTAAATCTGGCCCCTTGTGGGGCTGGCATTCTGGAGGAGGAGACACATGAGCAAGAGAAATGCAAACACACACACACACACACACACACACACACACACACACACACACAGTGTGTTAGAGGACAGGATAGGAGTATGGATTCACATGCTTGAATCCCAGCTCTTTTATTTATATTCACCTTTTATTAGCTGTGTGACCTCGGGCACGTTACTTATCCTCCCTGCTTCATCTGTAAAATATTATGCAAATGGTACCTACCTTGGTGGTCGATAGGAGGAATAGATTAGTATTTGTAAAGCATTTGAGCAGGGCCTGGCACATAATAAGAACTATATAAGAAGTTCATAAAGGGACTTCTCTGGTGGTCCAGCGGTTAAGACTCCGAGCTTCCACTGCAGAGGGCATGGGTTTGATCCCTGGTTGGGGAACTGGGAACCTGCATGCATGTGGTGTGGCAAAAAATAAATAAATAAATAAATAAATAAATACGTAAATGCTAAGGAGGAGAAATAACCCAGGGAAGGGAGCTGGATGGAGGGGAGAGCTTGCAGTTATAGATTGGGTGGCCAGGGCCTGCCTCCCTGAGAAGGTGACATTGAGTAAAGATCTGAAGGGAGTGAAAAATTAAGCCATATGGATATTTCCAAGCAGAGGGAGCAGCACATTCAGAGGCTCTGAGACCAGACAGTGCCTGGCGTGTGTGAAGACAGTGTGGACACCAGTGTGGCTGGAGTGAAGTGAGAAAGTGAGAGGGACGGTGAGGTCAGAGCAATAACAGATGTCCGGATCCCGTAGGACGGGGAGTCAGGGTACAGCCTTTGGCCTTTATTTACTTGCAAGGGGAGCCGTTGGAGGATTTCCAGCACAAAATTAACAGGATCCTGGACCTGAGCAGGGATGGGATGGATGTCAATTTCTGTTGAAGAATCTGCCTGAAGCTATGGGGTGAGGAGCTGGAGAGCCGCTGGGTTGAGACTGCAGGTGGGAGACTGACAAGTTAGGCTGCTGTCCTGATAGGCCAGGTAAGAGTAAGAGATTGCTAAGAAAAGGGACAGGCTTTAGAGGAACGGAGGTTAAAAAAATGGAAGGACTCCGTAAGAAGTCGGCTCTGGAGGATGAGGAGGAGGTAGGGGTCAGGCACGACTCTCTAGTTTCTGCTTGAGCAGTCGGTGGGGTTGAGACTGAGAGGAGGAACGTGGGAGGAGCAGATGAGGGTTACAGTGGAAGGGTTCAGCTTTAGAAGTGTTTCTCATGGGCCCGTGCGATGTTCAGATGGGGGTGTGGGTAGGTGCTTGAAGATACGTATCTGTAGCTCAGAGGAGAAGCCTGGGGTGGAGAAAGAAAGTTCTGAGCTGTCGGATCATTGAAGCAGTAAGTGAAGTTGACCAGGAACAGAGATTAGAGTTAGAAGAGATTGGAGCCAAGACAGAGAACCTGGGGAACAGAGCAGACAGGATGTGCAGAAACGCCGAGACGTGGAGGGTCCTGAGAAGGAATCGTTCAAGAGCTAAGAAGCAGACTAGGGGAGACAGCTGTCCTGAGAGGCCTGGAAGAGGTACAGTGGTGCCACAGGACCAAGAAGGAGACCCAGGATCACGCGTCCTTTGGATCCGGCAGGTTGGAAGGAGGCCCCAGCCTCCTGTTCTACTGTGATTTGAGGTCTGGGAGCCGAAGGAGTGGCAGCCACGGTGAAGGTGACAGAGCTCACGAGGAACATAGTGCCTTGCATGGTACTTTGTACATAAAAGAGCGATCTAGAAGGTATTTATCAGCTGAATGGAGAGTTCAGCTTCCCATTTGGTTATTCATTCTGCCTGCCTCCTACTCCCACCCCTAATCTGCCTTAACATTCAGCACCATAAGGTGGTTAAGACCTGTTCGGTGACCTGTATTTTGGAGTCACTGATTTGCATTTAGGTAAAAATGCCAGACAGTTATTATCTCTTTTGATTTAGGCCTATGTCTCTGATAGCACGAAATTAACTTCGAAGTGTGTTGCTCAAAATAAACCGAGCTAAGAGCTCCGCTGCAAGGATCACAGACCAGATTACGTGTGCTTGGATTTCAGCAGGCACTTGATAAAGAACATAGCGTCTCCTTGGCTTGTGCTGTCTTTGTGACTTTTGTCACCTCCTGGAACAGGAAGGCTCTGGCACCAGGAGGCCTTCTGTAATGGTGTGTGAGGACTGACTCCCAGGGTCTCGCCTGACCTCTGACCTGCCGGCATGGGGAGGTGAGTGATGGTGCCAAATCACCGGCACTGTAAAACCCAAGATTTGGCGCCACAGAAGCAGGTCTCGAGAGGGGGGAAGAATCTAAATCCCAAGTGAAAAGTGTTCAGAGTTGTGCTACACTTCTGTTTAACACCTTTGTTCTTCCAGGGCCCCAGGGGGGCGCCTGTCACATAAGGAAAGTGGGGTTCGTGTAGTTTACTGTAAAGGGCACACATGTTGGAATCTGGGAGGAGTTGTATTAAGCACAGGATGACTGCCTGTAAGCCTCGTAGGTATGGGAGGGGTGATGAACTCCATGGCGTGGCCCAAGAACCCACATGGAGACCAGAAACTACAAATAGAAAATTCCATTGGGTTAGCGGGATCCCTCCCCCTTCTGTGAGATGTTTTAGTCCATGAAGCACTCTTTAAAGGGAGGAGTGTAGAAATTAACAGTAAACAATAGAATTTATCCCAAAGGCAGCAAGGTTTGTTTTGTTTTGTTTTTTAAGCCTAATAATAGTCTCTCATTCCTGACAAACTGAGAAGAAAGTTTATTTGCAAAAATGTCTCAGGAATATTTCTAAAAACACAGGATATACAAAACGTATTTATTGACTGCTGCGGGGATGTTGTTAAAGATACTGTTTTTTCCCTTTTTCTCATGCAATCAGCACGGGAGAGATTGGCCTCGGGATTCAGTGTTAGAAAATCTTATTCCTCCTGGGCTGTTTATATGTTTCTGCTGTAACAGACAGGGTTTTTGGTCGCTATCATGCTCAGCCACCTTTGCAGGCTTTCCTTATTACATGTGTTTCTGGGCTCTAAATTCAGCATCCTTAAACCTGGTTTCATTATAGATTTACTTATTTATCTTATTGAACTTATTCTTATAAGCTGTCTGTAATTCTATTTTTGGAATAAAGCAGGGCACAGATAAAACTACTTAATACTCTCCAGAAAGGGGGAACACAGAAGTGTCATCAGGGCTTAATTCTCATTCATGTAATTTTATAATAACGAGTTACATAGCAAAATAGCAATGTGGAAGATGCCGGTATACCGATAACCTACCAGCAGGGAAGTAGGGGCAGCTCAAGCTGAATGTCTTAACTTTCAAATCAGTGGAAGTGAGGGGAGGCCTCTCTGGAGCAGACTGCTTTAGCTAAACTTGTCTTTTGAAATTTCAGGATCGGCATCTCCTGTCTTTTTCCGGCTTCCTGGCATTTCAGCATCTCTCCAGTGGGGTGTCCCCGAATTCTGAACACCAACTTACGCCAAATTATCGTCATTAGCATTCTGGCTGCAGCTGTTTCACTTTTATACTTTTCTGTTGTCATAATCCGAAATAAGTATGGGCGGCTCTCCAGAGATAAGAAGTTTCAAAGGTAGGAGGAAAAAACGTTTGTTTTCTAGATGGGATGCCATACCTTCATGTTATGACTTCCAGACTTTGGGGATTTGGATGGAATTTAAGGAGCAGGTGGCTGGAGGAAACAGATTTTGTACCGAATACAGCGTAGCATGAAAAATTAAACTGTTTGAAATGGTTTAGTCATTTACCACCAAATCCACATCATAAGAGGATTTAAGCATAAGCTTCTCCTGCGATATCTTTTAAGCTGATTTTTCAGTTAATGTTGATAGTTTGGAAATAGAGTTTTGCTTTTCAGAACTTATTTAAAGGAATGATGAGTGTGTATCTGCTCTAGATTACTTTTATCACTATCACTTTTTTGTTTTCTTTTGACTTTTTAATCATTTGGCAGTTGTAAAAGTGTTACGGTGGTGCTACCAAACAGCTTAGAGATCACTGATTTGGTGTTTGTTTATTGCATTATTGATAGTCTCTGTCTCATTAAAAGTATGTGTTTGTTTCTCTAAACAAGATACTTGGCACGAGTTACTGACATTGAAGCTACAGACACCAATAACCCCAATGTGAACTATGGTATCGTGGTGGACTGTGGTAGCAGCGGGTCTCGGATATTTGTCTATTGCTGGCCAAGGCATAATGGCAATCCTCATGATCTGTTGGATATCAGGCAAATGCGGGATAAAAACCGAAAGCCTGTGGTTATGAAAATAAAACCCGGTATGTAAATGATAAATATCTGACTGGTAACCAGGCTCTGCCTTTTCATTCTCTGTGCTGGCTTTCACGTCTTTCCCTTTCTCTTCTTGCAGTCATCACCCTCATTCAGAGCTCACACCAGGACCCAGTTGATCTTCTTGTTTCACTCTGTTTCCCCTTTTCTGTTCATCTTGCATAAGGTGACTAATACCTTCATAAAGTAGCCTAAACCCTTGTCTGTCTTTTTTGTCTCCTGCAGCATTTACCATAGTGCCTTTACTTATGGTGTCTGCTCAAATGTTGGCTAGTTGACGTTAATTATGGAGGGATTGTTTTCTAGATGGTAGCCGTTGGTCTCTATCCTTAATGACAAGGTAATTTCAGATAACTCATGGATATCTGTACTTGAATACATTGGTATGTATTTGTTATTTTTAAAAATTGCTACCCCAGTGCATTTCTAATCATCTGGGTTATTTAAGAAGAGTAACAATAGAACTTAGAAGAGCTGATATCACTATGTCTAGTTTTAAAGATACTGTAATTTCTAAGTCAGTGTGTTATGTAAAAATTGGGATTTGCCTTCCTCGTTAGACAATTTAAATCAGTGGTTCTCAACCTTTTTCTGTATCTGTATCATTTCCACGGGCAGCACCCTTCTGTCAAGAGTGTTAGGAATGGAAGATCTCAGGAGTACCTTGAAATAGGCACCTTAAGTCTTGATGGTTGATAATCACTGATGTGATTGGACCATAGATCTTAATAGAGTTTCAGCACTTTTATTTCATTTAGTTAATGTGTTGAATAGTAAAATATTAAATAAAAAATTCTGAAGAATTTATCTTTGAATATATTAGAGAATGTTGACAAAAAATAGCTGTCATAGCTTATTATCTCCCATTTCAAAAATGTAAGTGCAAAAGAGATTAGTTTTAACTGATAAGAAAACCTGTCCTCATAAAACAGTCTACCAGGACTGTAGACCTTTTGCATCCTACTCATTTGTCAGTGAATAAGTCAGTCCCACTTCTTTCTTCAGGCAACACTCGACAGGTTGACTGTTCTTTGAGGTTTGGGTAGCTTGGCACCAGCATATAGCTCAGAAAATTCAAAATCTCTACCTCATTTTTCAGGTTAAAGAGAGGGAACTTACTCTGAGCGTCTTGTATAAGCATTATTTTGATACCAGAGTACATTTCCATGAACTTTTTTTTTAATTAATAAGTTTATTTTTGGCTGAGTTGGGTCTTTGTTGATGCGTGCGGGCTTTCTGTAGTTGCGGCGAGCGGGGGCTTCTCTTCGTTGTGGTGGGCAGGCTTCTCATCGCGGTGGCTTCTCGTTGCGGAGCATGGGCTCTAGGGTACGCAGACTTCAATAGTTGTGGTGCGCAGGCTCACTAGTTGTGACGCACAGGCTTAGTTGCTCCGTGGCATGTGGGATCTTCCGGGACCAGGGCTTGAACCTGTGTCCCCTGCATTGGCAGGCGGATTCTTAACCACTGAGCCACCAGGGAAGCCCCCGTGAACATTTTTTAAAAGTTATTCATAGAAGATCATTTTCTCTGTAAGTCTTAGTGAATGACTTTTAGTTTTCTATTTTCCCATTTCTTACATTATTATGTGTCTCTAAATCTAGAAACATTTTCAGGGTTAAAGTAATATTGACCAAATAAATTCACCAGAAAATTAAAAAATTAAACTCTGTAAAGCACTTTGCATTTCATCTGGCTTCGCATCCCAGGTTCCATCAGTGATTACCTGCTCTCATGGAATAAGATGAAAACTTTCATGCGTTGGAGTTGTCCCCTGAGAACAAGGGACAGCTACCACAGCATCCCAGGGTACACACCAGAATCTCATTAAAATCAGTCTGAATATGATTCTCTTTGGTGCTACAGTAAATGTTTGAAGTGGAAATTCAGGTACCTTTTTATAGTACTTCTCTGTCCTGAAGCATGGGCTCTTGTGTATAGCATTACAGCAAAACTCTAGAAATTTCCTTACTTAATAGATTCTAGATAGCTTTGGGCTTCGTGTCCATTGAAATGGCATTGTATGTGGAGTCCAAAAAATCTGGCTTTTAGTTTGCTTGATGCTGATTGCTTTGACAGATTGCTTAATCTTTCTGAGTCCACAGTTTCCTACTCTGTGAAATAAATTTTGGACTTCTAAAATCCCCCTCAGCTTTAATGTTGTAGGGCTAAATGACAGCTGGAAATAGTCATTCACTTATGTACTCATTCAACAGATATTTGTTGAGCACCTGCTATTTGCCAAGAGACTGTGTCAGGTGCTGAGAATAAATTTGAACAAGACACAGTTTGTGCCCTCAAGAAACTTCCAGTTGAAATGAGACAGGCAAGTAAATAGGTAGTTTCGATGAGGTGGAATGAGTGCTCCAGCGAGAGGTAGGGGTAAGCATGGAATGTAATGAGAGCTCGCCTTCAGGGTCCTGTTAGGGAGGACTTCCAGAGAGGGCATAGCTCAGTGGGTGAGCGGGAGTCAGCCAGGTGAAAGGGATGTGGGGAGGGAGGCAGTCAAAGAGAAGCCTCTTCCTGGTGGAGCTGCAGGGGCCCTAAGGCCAGAGTATGATGCATTACAGAAATTTTATGCAGTCTAGTTGAAGCCAAATGGAAAGAATGTGGCAAGAGATGGGATAGGTGAGTGCTCAGGGCACGTTATGCTGTTCTAGAGCTGAGCTTTATCTGGAGGGCATTGAGGAGCCACCAGAGGATCTCAGACCATGGAGAGTGGTTGGGGATTGCCAGGACTTGAGAGTAGGATGTGCTGCAGCAGGCTGGCAGAGGCTGGTGGTGTCCAGCAGAGATGAGAAGTGAAATAGTGTGAGCAGAGCCAAGGATAGGCGATCAGTGAAACCCAGAACACACGTTGGGGTGAGGGAGAGGGATTTTATCCACGATACTGGCTGGGGCTCCTAAGGTAGGTCACGAGCAGTAAGAGCCAGGTTTACAGTGGAAGTTGAGTTTGGGTTTACATATGTTGCTGTGAGGACAAGCACATGGCTGTGTCCAGTGGACAGTTACTACATACTGATCTGGAGGTTGGGGAAGAGAGCTGGATGGCTGCGATTAAGATTTGGAGATCTGAGGCATAGATGGTGATGGCCGCCATGGGAGTGAGTGAACCTGCTGAGGACAGTGGGGGCATGTTTCTCAAGGGCAGGGGCGAGCTCATGTGCAGCTGATCCCAAGTGTCTGACACACAATAGTTGCTCAATTAGGTCTGTGATGACTGAGAAGAGAGCATAGGACTGAACAGGTAGCACCACCATCACTTAATAGCCGAGACACCGTGGAAGGAGTTGCCAGAGGGATAGGGAAAAACTAGGAGTGTATGGTGTGTAGTGTGAATTGCTCTCAAATTAGCCTCGTTAAAGAAGCATAACTTTTTTGCTTTTGTACCTCTTAATCCCCTACCCTTATCTTGCCCCTCCCCCTCCGCTCTCCCCACTGGTAACCACTAGTTTGTTCTTTATATCTGTGAGTCTGTTTCTTTTTTTTTATATTCACTAGTTTGTTGTATTTTTTAGATTCCACATATAAGTGATAATAAACAGTATTTGTCTTTCTCTGTCTGACTTATTTCACTAAGCACGATACCCTACAGGTGCACCCATGTTGTCGCAAATGGCAACATTTTATTCTTTTTTCTGGCTGAGTAGTATTCCATTGCATACACATACCACATCTTTATCTGTTGATGGACACTTAGGTTGCTTCCATATCTTGGCAATTGTAAATAATGCTGCTGTGAAAATTGGGGTGCATGTATCTTTTCTAATAGTGCTTTTGTTTCCTTCAGATATATACCCAGGAGTGGAATTGCTGGATCATATGCTAGTTCTGTTTCTAGTTTTTTGAGGAACCACCATACTGTTTTCTGCAGTGGCGACACCAATTTACATTCCCACCAGCAGTGTACAAGGGTTGTCTTATCTCTAAATCCTTGCCAATATTTTTTGTTTATGGTCTTTTTGATGATATCCATTCTGACAGGTGTGAGGTGATATCTCATTGTGGTTTTGATTTGCATTTCCCTGATGATTAGGGATGTTGATCATCTTTTCATGTGCCTGTTGGCCATCTATCTGTATGTCTTCTTTGGAAAAATGTCTCTTCAGGTCTTCTGACCGTTTCTTAATCGGGTTGTTTGCTTTTTTTGATATTGAGTTGTATGAGCTGTTTATATATGTTGGATATTAACTCTTTATTGGTCATATCACTTGCAAATATTTTCTCCCATTCAGTAGGTTGTCTTTTTTGTTTTGTCAATGTTTCCTTTTCTGTGCAAGAGTTTTTATGTTTAATTAGGTTGCATTTGTTTATTTTTGCTTTCCTTTCCTCTGCCTTAGGAGACAGATCCAAAAAAAATATTGCTACTTTTTATGTCAAAGAGTGTTCTGCCTATGTTTTCTCTAGGAGATTTATGGTTTCTGATCTGACATTTAGGTCTTTAATGAATTTTGAGTTTATTTTTGTATATGGTGTGAGAAAATGTTCTAATTTCATTCTTTTACATGTAGCTGTCCAGTTTTCCCAGCACCATTCACTGACGAGACTGTCTTTTCTCCATCGTATATTCTTGCCTCCTTTGTTGTAGATTAGGTGACTGTAAGTGCGTGGGTTTATTTCTGAGCTCTCTATTCTGTTCCATTGATCTATGTCTGTTTTTGTGCTGGTACTATGCTGTTTTGATTACTGTAGTTTTGTAATATAGTCTGAAGTCAGGGAGTGTGATACCACCAGTTCTTTTCTTTCTCAGGTTTGTTTTGGCTGTTCGGATTCTTTTGTGTTTCCATACAAATTTTTTAATTGTTCTAGTTCTGTGAAAAATGATAGGGATTGCATTGAATCTGTAGATTGCCTTAGGTAGTATGGTCATTTTAACAGTATTAATTCTTCCAGTCCAAGAACACAGTATATCTTTCCATCTGTTTGTGTTGTCTTCAGTTTCTTTCATCAGTGTCTTATAGTTTTCAGAATACAGATCTTTTACTTCCTTAAGTCGGTTTATTCCTAGGTATTTTGTTCTTTTTGATGTGATGGTAAATGGGATTGTTTCCTTATTTTCTCTTCCTGATAGTTCGTTGTTAGTGTATAGAAATGCAACAGATTTCTGTATGTTTATTTTGTATCCGGCAACTTTATCAAATTCATTGATGAGCTCTAGTAGTTTTTTGGTGGTGTCTTTAGGATTTTCTGTGGGTAGTATCATGTCATTTGCAAACAGTGACAGTTTATGAAGAAGCATACCTTATAAGCTAAAGTATCTACTTGTTAACATGAGTGTCCTTTTTCTGTAGGCATTTCAGAGTTTGCTACCTCTCCAGAGAAAGTCAGTGATTACATTTCTCCGCTCTTGAACTTCGCTGCAGAGCATGTACCACGGGCAAAACACAAAGAGACCCCTCTCTACATTCTCTGCACAGCTGGAATGAGAATCCTCCCCGAAAGGTGATGCTTCCCACGAGGGCAGGGCCAGCCAGCCTGGTGGTGGTATTAGCTGTGGTGGGTTTTCTCCCTCTTCATCCCCCTCATCTCCCTCCTCCTTGTCTTCCTCTTCCATCATCATCATCCAAAGGAAGACATTAAAAATTCTTTTTTCAAATCTGGAGTAGTACCAGACCTATTCCCTTAGTCAGAACTCACCAAATGTCTTTTAATGTACTTATTTATGACTATAAAGAGTAAACTGTAAAGTTGTCATAAAAAAACTGATTTTCTATTTTATTAGTTTAAGGATTGTTTGCAGTTGTAGTTTTACATCTCGGAATCACATAATTTACGCAACTTCTAAAAATTCCTTCTCTCTTTTTTTAACATCTCTATTGGAGTATAATTGCTTTACAATGTTGTGTTAGTTTCTGCTGTATAAGAAAATGAATCAGCTATATGTATACATATATCCCCCATATCTCCTCCCTATTGAGCCTCCCTCCCACCCTCCCTATCCCACCCCTCTAGGTGGTCACAAAGCACCGAGCTGATCTCCCTGTGCTATACGGCTGCTTCCCACTAGCTGTCTATTTTACATGAAAATTCCTTCTTAAAATAAACAGTCTTTTCAATGAACTGCTTTGGTTTAAAAAAATTTTTTTTTCACATAAGATATACCAGAGCCATAGGGTTTTATTTTTTTCTTTCTAAAACAGAAAAATTCAGGATATAATATATTGATATGTAAATTTTTGGAATGTCTTACAGTCAACAGAAAGCCATTCTAGAAGACCTTCTGACCGACATCCCCGTGCACTTCGACTTTCTGTTTTCTGACTCTCATGCAGAAGTAATTTCCGGGAAACAAGAAGGTCGGTATGTTAGTCTTCAACTTGAAATTTGGGAAGCTATTCCTTTAAGTCCTCCCAGTCTTCCTCATGTACACTTTATTAAATTACTCTTAACATCGTAAAATTGGCGAAACCATGCCTTCAAATATTACAATTTTTAAATGGAAAAATCGGTTTCTTACATGACTGGTCTTTATAATCCAAACGTTAAGCCATTAAAAAATAACTTGGTTTGTCTTCATCACATTTAGGAAGTATATTTTGGACTTGTTTTGATAGAAAAGCTTTGTGTTCCTTGCCTAAGTTATACAGCTTTCTGGAATTATGATCATTACTGAACTGTTGGAACCTTCTACTGATTTACTTGTTAGGAAGGGGAAATTATTCTTGACTTTGATACACTGAGGAAATGTTCTGTTTTCAAAGAAATAATTCTACTTGAGAATGAAAGGGCAAATCACTGAAATTATTTGGGGAATAGCTTGCTAGAAATGGAGACCAAAAAGCATTTATTTCAAAATCACCTATCATTTCGCCAGTAATTGGGCGAAATTCACATATTGCCGTCAAGCTGTTTATAGACAAGTAAGGTACACAGTTAGCTGCTTATATAAGGCAGAGTTTTAGATACCATAAGGAAGATAAGGAAAAACTATCATGGAAATTTGAAAGAGGGAGACTTTTTTTTTCCTGACTAGGGGCATCATGGAGAAAGTGACGTTTGAACTAGGCCTCAAGGGATAATTAAAAACACAGCATGCCAAATCATGGTAAGGCTAGGACTCTGAGAGAGGGATAGGAAGCTCATTCTAGGCAGAAGAAATGATTTGAGTCAACACAGGTCGGAAAAGCTGCACTATGGACAGAGGAATAAAAATATTTTAATTTGGTGGGATGATGGCCCTTTCAAAAGGTTGTGGTAATATTAAAAGTTGGATAGGTCTTGGTGATGTCAGCATCATGGTGGCATGCATGGTTCCTTTTCTCTCTCCCCTTTGATTTACAACTAATTGGACATCCGTAACCAAAAAAAAGTGCCTCTGCACAGCACACTAGGACACCCAAGAGATCAACTCATCAGTGCCCAAGAAAGTGAGTGGATTGGACCTCAGAGGAAGCTACAGAGCCAGGCCAGGAGCAGCAGGGGTGGCAGTGGGCCAGCACGACCTGTGGCAGAGGAGGTGGAGGGTGAAGGTGGTAAGCTGGGGTGGGGAGTTTACCTGGCTGAGTACTGCAGCTGGAGGAACTCTGTGAGGAGAGACCACAGCAACTGGGGGCAGAGAAAGAAAAGAGAAGAAGGCTGAGAGAGCTGAAGGAATGAGTTTCTTGCTCTCTGCCCTGGGATTCTAGCAAGAGGACAGCCCGCAGACCTCTGGGACTCTCCCCCTCCACTCAAGGATCCTCTTCTGGGCTATGGCACACCCAAAGCCCCAGGTGCTAAGCACATATCTCCCCAATTCTGTCACCATCCATTTTTTTCCCTTTCCACTGGCTTTTTTTATGTTCATACTCCCAACCTTAGTGATGAGTCAGCTCAGGTAAGAAAAACCAAAAACTTGTGCTGTAGCGCCACCTTCTAGAAAACGAAACAAAGGCTTCTAGTGACCAGTGTGTTGAATTGTTAGAATGATAGTAAACAAAGCTTTACTTAAATAGGAAAGTCATTTGCTACTTCAAATGCAGTGGCAGAGGGACTTTTCATCAAACACTATGAAAAATCTAAGCAGTGTGGTATCGCAAAAAGAAGAAAAACACTTTTCTAGCAACAGAACTTAAAGACATAGAATATTGTAATCTCACTGGTAAAGAATTCAGAATAGCTATTAGGAAGAAATTCAACGAGGTACAAGAAAGAAAGGCAGGACAGTGATCTCAGGAATAAAATTATCAAACAGAATAATTTAGCAAAGAGATTGAAATTCTAAAAAAGAACCAAACAGAAATTCTAGAGCTGAAGAACTCAGTAAATGAGATGAAGAATGCATTAAAAAGTATTGAAAGTAGAGCACATCAGATGAAGAGAGAATAAGTGAGCTCAAGGGTAGGAATATAGAAGCGTTTCAGGTGGAAGAGGAGAGAGAACTAAGAATTTTAAAAAGTGGAGAAACCCTATGAAAACTATCAGGCTTCATTAGAAAAGCCAACGTAAGATGAATGGATATCCTAGAAGGAGAAGAGAGAGAGAAGGGAGCAGAGAGAATTCAGAGATATAATAGCTGAGAACTTCCCAAACCTGAGAAAGGAACTGGATATACAAGTCCAAAAGCTGATGAAACACTTCGTTATTTCAACACGAAAGACCTTATCCAAGACACGTTATATTAAAACTGTCCAAAGTCAGTGATGAAAAAATTTTCGATGCAGCCAGGGAAAAAAAGACAGTAACCTACGAAAAATACCCATTAGGCTCTCACCAGAGTTCTCTGGAGAAACGCTATAGGCCAGGAGTGGAATGACATATTCAAAGTATTGAAAGATAAAAATTGCCAACCAAGAATACTCTATCCAGTAAAGTTATCCTTCAGATATGAAGGAGAAGTAAAGGCTTTTCCAGATAAACAAAAGCTGAGGGAGTTCACCACCACTAGACTACAAAAAATGTGGAAAGGAGCTCTTCAAGCTGAAGTGAAAAGATGAAAGTACACAAAACTCTGATTAAGGTGATAAATGGAATTAGAAAACTAAATCTTTTTTAGAATAGTGTATTAAACAATTATAGCATAAAGGTTAAAGGAAAAGAGCATTAAGAATAACTATAGGGGGCTTCCCTGGTGGCGCAGTGGTTGAGAGTCCGCCTGCCGATGCAGGGGACGCGGGTTTGTGCCCTGGTCTGGGAGGATCCCATGTGCCGCGGAGCAGCTGGGCCCGTGAGCCATGGCCGCTGGGCCTGCGCGTCCGGAGCCTGTGCTCCGCAACGGGAGAGGCCACAACAGTGAGAGGCCCGCGTACTGCAAAAAAAAAAAAAAGAATAACTATAGGTACTACAACTTGGTGACAAAATTGCAGCATAAAAAGAGAATTTGTGACATGAAAAATATAAAAGGGGAAAAGTAAAAGGATGGGACCTTTACAGGCGAATGAAGATAAATTGTTATCAGCAGAAAGAGGACTATTTGTGAGACATTTTATGTAAACCTCTTGGTAACCACAGAGTAAAACTCCGAACAGAGATAAGTAACATGAAAAAGGGGGAAACTAAGCAAATCACCATGGAAAACCACGAACTTTCAAAGGTAGACAGAAACAGAAGGAAAAAGAAACAATGGAGAAACAACCAGAAGGCAAAAGATTAAATGGCAGTAGTAAATCCTTACACATAAATAATTAAATGTAAATAGATTGGGCTCACCAATCAAAAGGCACAGAATGACTAGATGGATCAAAAAAAAAAAAATGACCCAACTATACACTGTCTGCAGGAGACTCATTTCATCTCTACAGACACACATAGGCTCAAAGTGGAAGGATAAAAGATGATATTCCAAGCAAATAGAAACCAAAAGAAAGCTGGCATAGTTATATCAGACAAAATAGACTTCTAGACAAAAAGGATAACAAGTATCAAAGAAGATGCTCATATAATGACAAAGAGGTCAATACATCAAGGAGATACAACAATTGTAAATGTATATGCTCCCAACACCTGAGCACCGAAATATATTAAGCAAATACTGACAGGTCTTAGGGGAGAAGTCGACAAAAATACAACAGTAGTAAGGGCTTCAGTACCTCGCTATCACCAATGGATAGATTGTCCACACAGAAAATCAACAAGGAAACATTGGAATTGAACCAGGACAAGCAAACTTAACAGACATATACAAAACAATTCATCCAAAAGCAACCAAATACACATTTTTCTCAAGTGCACATGGAACATTCTCCAGGATAGATCATGTGATAGGACACAAAACAAATGTTAGCAAACTTAGGAAGATTGAAATCATACCAACTATCTTTTCTGACCACAATGGTATGAAACAAAAAATCGGCAACATGAAGAAAGCTGGAAAATCTACAAATACGTGAAGACTAAACAGCATACTTGTCAACAGCCAGTGTGTCAAAGAAGAAATCAAAGTCAAAAGAGAAATTTAAAAATTACAATAAGTCCCCTACATATGAACGAGTTCCATTCCAAGAGCGTGTTCGTAAGTCCAGTTTGTTCATAAGTCCAACAAAGTTAGCACAGGTACCCGACTAACACAATCAGCTATATAGTACTGTAATAGGTTTATAATACTTTGCACACAAATAATACATAAAAAACAACAAACACAAAAAATAAAGAACATTTTTAATCTTACAATATAGTACCTTGAAAACCAGTAGTATGGTACAACAGCTGGCATACAGGGACTGGCGTGGAGCGAACAGGCAAGAAGAGTTACTGACTGGAGGAGGGAGAGGAGGTGGGAGATGGTAGAGCTGAAGGATCATCAGCAATAGGAGATGGAGGGCAAGCTGCAATTTCACTCACATCTGACATCGATGGCACAGGTTCTGGGCTTGAAATAAAGATACTGTACTGCTGTATTCCATACAGTACTGTACAGTAAAGTGCACAAAAGCACAGCTACTTGTAAAGGATGCACACACATGGCAGTGTATGCCAGACATGTGAATTAACTTATGTGATTGCACATGTGAATGCATACTTGCATCTTTGAAAGTTCACAACTTGAAGGTTTGTAGGTAGGGGACTTACTGTATCTCAAAACAAAAGAAAATGGAAATACAGCATATCAAATATTGTGGGATGCAGCAAAGGCAGTTCTAAGAGGAGAATTTATAGCGATAAATGCATACATTAAGAAATTAGAAAGAGTTCAAACAACCTAACTTTGCACCTTAAGGAACTAGAAAATGAAGACCAAATTAAGCCAGAAGTTAGCAGAAGGAAAGAAATAATAAAGGCTAGAGCAGAAATAAATGAAACAGAGACCAGAAAAACAATAGAAAGGATTAACGAAACTAAGAGCTGGTTCTTTGAAAAGATAAACAAAATTGACAAACCTTTAGCCAGACTAAGAAAAAAAAAGACTCCAAGTTAGAAATGAAAGAGGAGACATTACAACTGATATTACAGAAATACATAGAATCATGAGACTACTATGAACAATTATATGCCAACAAATTACATAAGCCAGAAGAAATGGATACATTTCTAGAAACACACAACCTTCCAAGACTGAATCAGGAAATAAAAAATCTGACCAGACTGGTAATCAGTGAAGAGATTGAATTGGTAATCAAAAAACTTCAACACAGAAAATTCCAGGGCCAGATGGCTTCACTGGAGAATTCTACCAAGCATTTAAAGAAAACATCAATCCTCCTCAAACTCTTCCAGAAAGGAGCAGGGAACACTCCAAACTCATTCTACAAAGCCAGCATTACCTTGACACCAAAACCACATAAAGATACCACAAGAAAAGAAAACTATAGACGAACATCCTGATAAATATAGCTGCAAAAATTCTCGACAAATCAACACAATATTAGCAAACTGAATTCAAGAACACCTTAAAAGGATTATACACCATGACCCAGTGGGATTTATCCCTGGGATACAAGAACAGTTCAACATATGTAAATCAATAAATGTTAATACATCAATAAAATGAAAGATAAAAATCACTTCATCTCAACAGGTGGAGAAAAAACATTTGACAAAATACAGCATCCTTTCATGGTAAAACAAACAAACAAGCAAAAACCCTTAATAAATTGGGTGTAGAAGGAACATACCTCAACATAATAAGGGTCACATATGACAGACTCACAGCTAACATTATACTCAATGGATAAAAACCAAAAGTATTTCCTCCAAGATCAGGAATAAGACAAAGATGCCCACTCTCATTACTCCTATCCAATATAATATTGGAAGTCCTAGCTACAGCAGTTAGGCAAAGCAAAGAAATACATCTAAATTAGAAAAGAAGTAAAATCATAACTATTTGCTGATGATATGTTCATATATAAAGAAAATCCTAAAAACTCAGTCAAAAATATTGATTAATTGTTGCATTAATCAACTATTTCAGTAAAGTGGCGGGATGCAAAATCAACATACAGAAAATAGTTGCATTCCTTTATGCTAATGATGAGGCATCTAAAAAAGAAATCTAGAAGATGATCACACTCACAGAAGCACTCAAAATGTAAAATACTTAGGAATAAATTTAACCAAGGAAGTGAAAGATCTGTACAATAAAACTAAAAGACATTGCTGAAAGAAATCAAAGCCATAAACAAATGGAAAGATGTCCCGTGTTCATGGATCAGAAGAATTGATATTGTTAAAACGGCCATACTACTCAAAGTCGTCTATAGATTGAGTGCAATCCCCATGAAAATACCAAAGACATTCTTCACAGAAATAGAAGAAACAATCCTAAAATTTGTGTGGAACCACAAAGGACCCCGAATAGCCAAAGCAGTCCTGAGAAGAAAGAAGAAGGCCAATCAGGCATCATCTGGGTTTCAAACTATACTACAAAGCCATAGTAATAAAAATAGTATGGAGGGCCTCCCTGGTGGCGCAGTGGTTGAGAGTCCGCCTGCCGATGCAGGGGATACGGGTTCGTGCCCCGGTCCGGGAGGATCCCACATGCCGCGGAGCGGCTGGGCCCGTGAGCCATGGCCACTGAGCTTGCGCGTCCGGCAACGGGAAAGGCCACGATAGTGAGAGGCCCACATATCGCAAAAAAAAAATAGTATGGTGCTGGCACAAAAATAGACATAGCAACCAATGGAACAGTACAGAGCCTGGAATTAAATTCGGGCATATATGGTCAACTAATATTTGACAAGGGAGCCAAGAAAGCTCAATGGATAAAAGACAGTCTCTTCAACAGATGATGCTGGGAAAACTGGAGAAACACATGCAGAGCAATGAAATTGGACCCCTGTCTCACATCATTCACAAAAATTCACTCAAAACGGATCAAAGACTTAAACGTAAGACTCAATACCGTACAACTTCAATAAGAAAGGAGGAAACTCATCGATTGGTCATGGCAATGTTTTTTTTGGATATGACAACAAAAGCACAAACAACAAAAGCAAAAATCAACAAATGGGCTACATCAAACTCAGAAACTTCTGTACAGCAAAAGAAATAATTAACAAAATGAAAAGACAACCTACAGAATAGGAGAAACTTTTTGCAAACCATCTATCATGTAAGTGGTTAATATCCAAAATATATAGAGAACTTATATAATTTAATAACAACAACCCAAAAAATCTGATTTAAAAATGGGCAGAAGAACTAAGACATTTTCAAAAGAGGATGTCAAAATGGCCAACAGGCACATGAAAAGATGCTCCACATCACTAATCATCAGGGAAACACAAATCAAAACCACAGTGAGCTATCACCTCACACCTGTTAGAATGGCTATCCTTAAGAAGATAAGAGACAATAGGTGCTGGTGAGAATGTGATGGAAAGGGAACCCTTATACATTGTTGGTGGGAATGAAAATTTGTCCAACACTATGGAAAACAGTATGGAGGTTCCTCAATAAAATAAGTTCTCAATAAAAATAGGGCTACCATACGATCCGGCAATTCCATTTCTGGGTATATGCCCAAAGGGAATGAAAATAGAATTTTGACAAGATGCATGTACTCCCGTGTTTTTTGAAGCATTATTCACAATAGCCAAGATACGGAAACAACCCAAATGTTCATCAACAGACAGATGGATAAAAAAGATGTGGTAGATATACACAGTGGAATCTTACTCAACCATGAGAAAGGAGGAAGGATATCCTGCTATTTTTGACAACATGGATGGACCTTGTGCGCATTATGCTGAGCGAGTTAAGTCAGAGAAGGACAAGTGCTGTATGATATCACTTATTTGTGGAATCTGAAAAAGTCCAACGTGTAAAAAGACAGTAAAATGTTGGTTACTAGGGGATGGGGTCAGGAGATAAGACTGATGGTGTTCAAGGGTAGAAACTTGTAACAGTGGGTAAATAAGCCATAGACAGTTAATGCACAACGTAGTGAATATAGACAATAGTACTGTACTATAATGTAATGTGATGATAATATTGCTACAAGGGCAATCATATTACGATACATAAACGTATCAAAGTAACACACTGTACCCCTTAATTTACACATTGCTACATGCCAAATTTATTCAATTAAAAACAAGTTGGACAGGTCTTGAATTGTTAGGCTGTGGAGTTTGGACTTTGTTCTGTAGATCAGCCCAGCAGAGGATAGCATGGGTTGGAGTGGGAGAGTAGGGGCAGGAAAGTCAATTAGATCTCTGTACCAGCTTAAATCAAGGCAGTAATGAAAATGGGTGAAGGTCCGATGTAGAAAATGTTATAAAAAGAGAATCAGACTTGGGAACTGAGTGAAAGTGTGAGATAAAAGAATGGAAGGGTTAGAGTTCACTTGTCTTAAAACCTTGTACTTGATAGGTTTAACCTCATAAAAAGTGAAAACTCCGGTATTTCAAAACAACCTATAAATTTCAAAGGAACAGGAGTGTCTAGGGAATTATATTTTCAACCCATACAAATGGTATGAAACTACAAAATTAAAAGCTGAGAGTTCTTGGAAAACCACTAGGAAAAGGTAATACATCAATAGAAATGTATTTTTTCAGATAACGTTTTCACAGCTTATCAGGGAATGAAATAAGTGTTTGCACTGACTGCAATGATCAGGATTATATAAAATATTTTTAAACTTTACTCTTCTTATAACGCCTCTAGGTGTGTATGCTTGGATTGGCATTAATTTTGTCCTTGGACGATTCGAGCATATTGAAGATGGTAAGTATCATGTTTCCAGCAAATGTATCTAACTGGAAATTATGGCTTTTTCTATTTCATGCAAAGCATAAAAAAGGAGCTGAGTGTTGTGACACAGCTGGGTGTGAAGGAGCAGAGTGGGAGATGCTGCTGTGTCACACAGTAAACTTGATCTTAGTCGGGAGGAGCAAGCTGGGTCTGCCTAGATACACTTGAACCCACCATCAAAGCAGGATGACTCTTCACAAGATCCCGCTTCTCTGCATTTGTTCCATTCCAGTGGCTGTTTCTTGTTCTTTCCAGATGATGAGGCAGTTGTGGAAGTTAACATCCCTGGTAGTGAAAGCAGCAAAGCCATTCTCCGTAAAAGAACAGCCGGTATTCTCGACATGGGAGGCGTCTCAACCCAGATAGCATACGAAGTCCCCAAAACTGTAAGCTTTGCCTCCTCACAGCAGGTTATTATCTGTACAAATTTCCTTCTGTTTGGTTTGATTTTCATTTAACATGTCTCCATCCATTTGTGTTTTGTTTTCTGAGTCTGAACACATCTTTACTGTGCTTGCTGAGGGTCCCACCTTCTCAGCCCAGGAGAAAGGAGACAGGAGGAAACCAAGGCAAACCTCCACTAAGCCGTTTGTGTTTGTTCATTGAAGTCAGCTGGTTTGTTTTCTGAACTTACCTAGAATTTTCCTTTGGTGTATATGTCAGCCACACACTTGAGTTTTTGTTTCTATTTCCAGTCACTTCTTTTCTCAACAGGTATTGTAAAACTTTATATAATAGTATCAGATTTCTTAAGTTATAATTGGGAGAAATACTCTTGTGTGTGGCTCAGACAGCTCTTGATTTTTCTTGGAATGGATAGAGGTTGGTATCCACCGCTTCCACGTTTCTGAACTCATGGTTTACTCTGTGATTTCTGCATATCCCCTTTGGTACTGTAGTTTCCCAGTAGGCTGGGTGGCCTTCTGTAGAGGGTGTCCAGATGCTTTCCTGAATTGCTCTATGTCTTTATTACTGTTTCCATTCAGCTCTAGATTAATACCTAGCAGAGTGAGTGGTTAGAAAAGAGTGGAGCTGGACAAACCTGAGCTGCATTGTCATCCTGTCCTCACTAGTTCTGGGACCTTATGCAAGTCACTTAGCTTTTTTGAGCGAGCCTCTTCAGCTATAAATGTGACTGCAAGTGCCTCTAACAGAGGGTTATCATAAGGCTGATTGAGATAGTGCATATAGTATATCTAATGGCCTGCTAGGCACCTCGTATCAGCTCAGTAAACATTATTGAAGTATTTATTAAGCTCCTTAGAAAATGCTTTGTAAATTCAAGTATTACAATTGTGTTTCCTGCTTCCCATCCAGACATGCCTCTAGAAACTATTACACTCTTTGTACAAAGTCATATTTTCCCCTCAAATAAAGTAAGAAACTCATAGAAAAGTAAGTTTGGAAAAAAATTTCCCATGGATGCATCATCCAAAAAAATTATTGTTAGCATTTTGGCATATTTCTCTTTATTCTTTTTTGTCTGTTTATAGTGTTTAAAAATATGGTTGTTATAATCTTACTGTTTGTACAATTTTTGTCCTTTATTTAGCAGTGCATAAGCATATTCCTCCATAAACTTTATTACCATTATTAACTAACCCCTATATAGATGACATCCAGTTTTTTCTGTCACAGAATTGCAAAGGACATCTTTGTGTATAGAGACTTTTCAATGTTTAGGATTATTTTCAAAACACAGGATTCCATAAGTAGATTTACTACATCAGAGGATATGAAACCACATTGCCAATGTCCCTTTTCAAAAAGTCATATCAGTATCACAAATGTGCAGCCCATCTGAAATGTCTTAAGTCAGGATTGTCGTATTGAATTGGGAGGGATGCTTAGAAGGACCCTTGGGAAATGCAGATGCAGAAAATTTTGCTCCTTTTTGACAAGAATTTTTGTAGATCCCTCTTTTTAACGGGAGGTAATTGTCTTTGTATTTGCTTAAAATACTAACGTTCGTGACCCTTACGTCTGTAGGAAGAAGTAGCTAAGAACTTATTGGCCGAATTCAACTTGGGATGTGACGTTCACCAAACTGAGCACGTGTACCGCGTCTATGTGGCCACGTTTCTTGGGTTTGGTGGCAATGCTGCTCGACAGAGATATGAGGACAGAATATTTGCCAGTACAGTTCAAAAGAACAGGTAAAGCACCTTCCATTGCTCGGCCGTCACCTTGAAACCCATGGTATGTCCTCACAGAAGACATATCCAGGCCAAGCAGGGAGGCCTCAGTCAGCAGAAGCATATGAGCACAGTTAGCTGTCTATTGCCCCGCCCGCTGAGCTGGAGAAGAAATGAAAGGGCAGCAGGATCCTGCCTTTGGCCCCAGCTCACCCACCTCCAAAGAAGGCTCTCGTTCTCTCAGACCCATGGCTCCCCTGCTGGATTAGAGGTTTCACTTTCAGGATATTAAAATACTTTCGAACCCTGAGTGATGCTATTCCAGATTACAAAGTCCTGTGGAAACTCAGCATCTGGGCCACTCAGATGTCCTGGAGGCCCCCAGGAAACGATGATAGCATTGAGTTACGGGATGTCCTGGCGGTGTCGTGGGAAATCAGCCTGGCAGTTATTTAGTGAATTAGACCGTAGTGAAGGAAGTTATTCACGAGAAAGAAACGATCTAGAAGTCAAAGTTAGTGATTTTAAACCTCTTTAGCAGTGAAACTCTAAAAAATGAGTTCATGAAGAATTCTGGTATAGAAAATATGCAAAAACACTTTAACAGTTTAAATTTATTTTATAAGTTTAAGTGTATACCAATTATTTATTTGAAATTAGTCCATAAGAACAGAAAAGCCATATGGATGAATAAAAAAATCTGAAATCTAGGGTTTTGTAAAATGGTATTAATTACTGTGCTTTGTTTTGTTTTGCTTTGTTTTTGACTGCGCTGGGTCTTCGTTGCTGCACGTGGGCTTTCTCTAGTTGTGGTGAGCAGGGGCTGCTCTTCATTGCGGTGCATGGTCTTCTCATTGCAGTGGCTTCTCTTCAGAGCACGGGCTCTGGGCGTGCAGGCTTCAGTAGTTGTGGCTCACGGGCTCAGTATTTGTGGCACACAGGCTCTAGAGCGCAGGCTCAGCAGCTGCGGCGCACGGGCCCAGTTGCTCCGCAGCACGTGGGATCCTCCCGGACCAGGGCTCGAACCCCTGTCCCCTGCATTGGCAGGCGGACTCCCAACCACTGCACCACCAGGGAAGCCCCTTTGTTTTGTTTTGATGAAACGATTTTGAGGAGAGAAATCCTGATTCATAGAAATAAATGATAGTGTATTTCCTTGATCTATTTTAATCTTTTTTGTTGTTGTTGAGGTATAGTTGACGTACAATATTATATAAGTTTCAGGTGTACAACATAGTGATTCAGAATTTTTAAAGGTTATATTTCATCTATATTATTATAAAATAATGGCTAGAATTTAATCTTAATAAACCTGTGGAGGCCTGAACTTTAAGAAAGGCCAAGTCAGAGCCATTCAATACCTCATTTTCCAGAAATTCACATGTGTGAATAGGAGAAGCAATAAAAACTGGTTCTTTGTTAAGAGAGATTAACTAGTCCCCGTTTCTTTTTAAAAATAGTATGTTACATAGCGCACCTTAGTATAATTATTTTTAGTAATAGTCTTAAAATAGAAATATTTTATAAGTGATGTTTAAGTTAGAATTTTGGAGAAACACCTTCTTCTGCAACCCTAATTTTTACTAATTGGTTTTAATGTCAAGAAGGTTATATAATGGACATTGCAGTGGTACTTTTTAATTTAGTTGTAGAGCAACTAAAAACTGTAACATGCAGTATACATTTGACTCATCTTGGACTTTTATAATAATTATAAACGTCAGTCATCACTTTTTACATATGTCATGAATTGAGCCTTGAAATGCATATTTATCCCTTTGCCATTAGTAGTGATGATGGATTTTTTTTAATTACTTAAACATTTTTAGTGCATTTTGAGTTGCCCTGATCTTAGGAATAAACAACTTGTCAGTTGAGTGGCAGGTAAAAAGTTGACTTAATGTCAGTGACTGAATATCAAATTCAGGTGCCTTCCTAATAGTTAAACACCTTTTAGGCCCATGGGATTTCCTGGTATCAAACAGTAACATAACTCCAGCTGTTGTATGCTCTTTTCTACTTCGCAGTTGCTTAATGGTGAGGACACATAGTAGGATGACAGATCTGGACATTTCATCGGCAGGTAGTAAGCATAGGGCATTTCAGTGAACAAGTTAAGATTTCTACAGGACTTCTCAGAGCCTGTAGTACAATAGAAACTGTTATTTGCTGCAGTTGGGATCAATAGTTGGTTAACTTAAAAATTCATTTAAAACAGAGAATCATAAAAATAGAATCAACCCCAAGCACTTTGTTTTAACTTATGTATTCATTTGCCAATCTTTTGCTCTGGACTAAAGGCTTTTCTTAGGCTATTTCTCTGGCAGGCACTGCACCCACTCATCTTGATGTCATTTTGGCTTTCTTTAAAGGATACCAGGGCCTTAAAGACATCTGTGAAGCAAATTGATACCAATTTCGTCTAGATTTTTATTAATTTTTCCCAACTTTTTTTCTTTTAATCTTGCTAACACCTAATTTGACACTGGTTTTCTAGCGATCTGCCTTTATTATATTTTTCTAAGCCATCTAACCTTAGCTTTAACAGCACCAGCGACTTCTTGTCACAGTCACATTTCGTCTGTATATAATTAAAATCACAAGCACTAGTGGCAGAAACGGGTCTGGGAGCAGCACAGTGGTGGGCGTTGGACTGCAGTGAGCAGGACACTGGGAGGAGCTTGTTAACCGCGGACCCTCAGCAGCCGTGGACACCAGCCTATGTCACCGGGCACGGAAAGCGTCAGTAATCTGACCAAGTCATAGTTTCACTGAACCCCGTTCAGCTGTCTGCTGTACGCACATGTGTATCATGAATCTCCAGGAGGGGCTTGAGTCTGTGTTTTCCCAACTTAATTTTTCCGGAACCCTTTTTTTTTTTTTTTTTTAATAAGATGTTGGGGGTAGGAGTTTATTAATTAATTTATTTATTTTTGCTGTGTTGGGTCTTCGTTTCTGTGCGAGGGCTTTCTCTAGTTGTGGCAAGCGGGGGCCACTCTTCATCGTGTTGCGCGGACCTCTCACTATCGTGGCCTCTCTTGCTGCGGAGCACAGGCTCCAGACGCGCAGCCTCAGTAGTTGTCGCTCACGGGCCTAGTTGCTCTGCGGCATGTGGGATCCTCGCAGACCAGGGCTCGAACCTGTGTCCCCTGCATTAGCAGGCAGATTCTCAACCACTGCGCCACCAGGGAAGCCCCCGGAACCCTTCTGTGTTCCATAGGGCAGAGTTTGAGAAACACTGACTTGCAGCCACTTTCTTCTTCACACAGTTTTCTGTTGGTCTCGTGATGAAGTTTCTCTTTGTCCTGTAGGCTCCTGGGGAAACAGACTGGGCTGACTCCTGATACTCCATACCTGGACCCCTGCCTACCCCTGGACATTAAAGATGAAATCCAGCAGAATGGACAGACACTGTACCTGCGGGGGACGGGAGACTTTGACCTGTGCCGAGAGACCATCCAGCCTTTCATGAACAAAACAAACGAAACGCAGACCTCCCTCAATGGGGTCTACCAGCCCCCGATTCACTTCCAGAACAGTGAATTCTACGGCTTTTCCGAATTCTACTACTGCACTGAGGATGTGCTACGGATGGGGGGAGACTACAGCGCTGCCGCTTTTACGAGAGCTGCGAAGGTAACCACCCAGGAAGCCAGGGTAGATGGCGACGGGCCCAAGTCCAGAGCAGGGCAAGGCGGAGGGCAAAGGCTGTGTGCAGCACCTTGGCAGCCCTGCTCCCTTGGTTGGGCCAAAGGAATAGTCACAGCAGAAGCAGAAAGTCCCCTGTGAGACTGCACTGGCCATCAGTGGCTCCCAGATGACAGTCTTTTATGTGTAATAATGTAATTCTGATCTGACAGTTCCTCACAGCTTCCGACCCTTTGTTTTCAGGACCCCTTTTCTCTTGTTCTCCCTGCCTTCCTGACACTTTCCTAGGCTCTCAGCCTTGGTGATCCCATACTTCCTCCCTTGGTCCTCTGACCTTCAGGTTCTTAGATGGTCTCATCCATGTTCATGGTTTGCTGCTGCCTCTCAGGAGGAGGCTCTGCATCTGCCTGCCCAGCGCCTGCTAGATTTCATGACTGCAGACAACCCCCCTTTCTCCCCATTCTGTTCTGCTATGTTGTCTCGGTCATGGCATCACTAAACCATCTAGTTCCCCTCCCCCAAACCCAGGAGTTACAGACTTCTCCCTGTCACTCATCCATCCCTCGCTGTACACCCCATAATAGCAGTCATCGAGCATGTTATTGTATGCCATACATTTTCTCAGAGCCCTGCTCTCCCTACTTTCTGTCCTACCCTCGCCATCCCAGCCCTGGCCACTCTCTGTCACCTGCACTATGCAGGGGCCTCCCCGTGGTCCTCCTGCATCTGGCCCCCCTCTGTGGTTCATCCTCCACACCACTCCCAAGTGTTCTGTCTGAAACCCAAGTGCAGCCACCTGCTCTCCTGTTGAAAGTCTTCAGTGGCTTTCTCTTGCTTCCAGGATGAATTTCAAATACTTTAGTGTGTCCTTCCCACACTGTTGCCTCATCTCCCCACTTGATACTCTAATCGTATCAGACATCTGTTTGTTTCCCTCCCATCTGTGCTCCCTCCCATCTTGTCTTCGTCCGTCGTGTTTCCTCTGCCTGACATGCATCCTCACCCTCTCACCCCAGGCTGAGTGCCATTCTCTGTATCCCCTGTTGTGAGTTTCACTGCCTCTGTGAGCCTCAATGTCTTCATTCTTTAAATAGAGGTTGGAATAGCAGCTGTGTCAAGGAGTTGTTTGAAGCATTACATTTAGAAAAGGTGCCAACACAGGGGCCAGTTAATGTTAGCTGTTAATATAAACATTACAGATAACTTCAGGAAAAGGTGGCACCTCTTTCCCTTCTCTTGAAGACAGAGCCTTTCGTAATCATCTTTGTGTTTCCAGAACCTTGCGCCATATAGCCACAGACACAGGTTTTCAGTCTGAACTGGCTGAAGGACCGCTTCACTTTTCCAAGTCTGTGCCTGTCACATGCAGTCACTGCGGGGAGAAACTTAGCAGCTTTGAAGAGGTTGGTTGTGGGCAGTGAGATTCTCTTTAACAATAACTTTGGCTGAATTTTAAGACAAAGAACAAGCATTGTCTCAGCTCATCAGTAAGCATTCACAGAGTGTTTGTGTGTCTCGTCCTCATGGGTCACAGACACAAGCTTGTGTCTCCTAATTGGAAGGATATGTTTGTTATGAATATGAATTTGGTAAAAACTTTTAAAATGAAAAAAATTTAATAAACCTTTCTTAGTGATTTATTTGGGGTGAAATTTCTTTCAGGATTATTGCGCAACAAAGTGGTCGATCTTGCGGGAACGCTTTGACCGAGGACTGTACGCTTCACACGCCGACCTCCACAGGCTCAAGTAAGTCGTAGACAGCTGAGCCCAGGGTGTGTTGAAGAAACTGTGTGTCCATTCTTGGCCATACCATGGCCCCAGTCTACCTTTCTGTCCTCATCAGTCCCTACTCCTCCTCATCTCCTCCAGGCTCCTTTCAGACCAACGGCAAATACTCGTGCTCAAACGTATCTTGCAGTTTTGGGCTCAGTTTTGCTCTTCCTTCCACCTGGAATTCCCCTGTGCATGCTGTCCTCGTTGATGTCCTGCCCAGACCTGTCCCTTCCGAGTCTTCCTCTGTCCACTTAGCTAGGCTCCATCCCTCTCTGCGCGTCTCCAGAGCACTCATTATGTCCCTCTTGTGGCGTTTATCATATTCTGTTTTTATAGTTACTTGTAGCTTTTTAAAAATCCTCTTTCATTATAAGTCATTTAAGCACATTGGTTATCTTATTATTTATTATGATGTCTTATTACTTGCTTAGCCCAGTGCTTTACAAAAAGCAACCCTCTGATAAATATTTAGAATCATAGATTATCAGAGCTGAAAGGGACCCGCCTATCTTGTCATTTTATAATAAAGAAACTGAGGTCCAGAGAAGGTGGAACTTGCTCAGTATTTATTCAGAACTGAATTAAGTGATGGAAGGCCTGAGGGGAAAAATCTCCCGCGGCCATGTATTAAATTACACGGAGACCAAGCTTCATGAGCAGATTGATTTTAACAGGTGAATGGTGTGGGACACAGGGCGTAAAGCAAGCAAATCAGCTGGAGATGCGTACGGATGGTTTCGCCCTCAGAGCGCAGGCCTCGTGAAGCCTGTGCACCCCCGTTGTTCACAGAGGGCAAGGCCGACTCCACGAACTTGCTTTTTGACCCACCCAGTGACTCAGTCGCACTCACATGTTTGTGCTCTTTGTAGGTATCAGTGCTTCAAATCTGCCTGGATGTTTGAGGTGTTCCACAGGGGCTTCTCATTTCCCGTCAACTACAGACATTTGAAGACAGCTTTGCAAGTTTACGACAAGGAGGTTCAGTGGACCCTCGGGGCAATCCTCTACAGGACCCGCTTTTTACCCTTAAGGTATGGCCGGGAATTTGCTAACAAGAGTCCAACAGAAGATGCTTCCCTGCATCCGGGGCATCGTGGGCAGTGGGTGTGGCTGTTTGGGGCATTGTTGGCACTGGCCGTGGGCAGAATGGGACAGTCGGGGAGGTCTGACTTGGTCTTCCCCACCGGAGCCTCCTCCCTTCCCAGCCCACCATCCCAGCAAAGCCGCCACAAAAGTGCTTATTCTCAGAGGCCTGTTCCCTAGCCCCTGCGCAGAAGGGTCTATTCCAGGGTCCTTAACCTTTATGGCCTTGGACCCCTTCTCAAAATCTTGTTTTTAATGCATAATATAAATACATAGGCTATAGAGGAAACCATTGTATTGCAGTACATTTATCAAAATATTACAGAAGACAAATTTGTGATACAGTGGTATACGTCCTTTATTAGCACATTAAATAGCAAGACCTGGCAGCAGAATTCGTACTTCCTGTAAGTTCAGTGTAATGATGCCTGTTGACGATATTTTGAGGCATCTGCAAAACACCACAGTGCGATGTAAAAGATCTGTGAGTTTCTCTAGGAACAGAGTCACTAATTCTGCTGATACTGTAGTAGCGATAGTTTTTTGTCTGCATTCACGTTCAGTGAAAATACTGCATTACAACCAGAGATTGGTAAAAGAAAGATGCGCCTTTTTTCCCACTCAAGTTCACAGACTTAGCTGTCAGTTGACCCCCCCTCATAAGAACCCTGCTTCACTAACAAATGAGGTATTAGCTGTTTTTGTTTTTGTTTTTTCCCTTCATTTAATTAAGCATCTCCCAGCAGCACATTTAGCTGGGTTAACTGCAAAACTTGTGAGTAGTGGGTGTTACTGATCATAAACATGTGGTTTGATTCCACATTAGCTTCTGTGTATTAGTAAAACACTCACAGTTCTAACTTTCTCTGATTTTTGTTACCCAAAGTATAATGCTGGTAACAGCTACAGACTTAAGAATACCCTTTCACAGGTTATCGTGTTCATACTTACAGCTACCCTCTGCTGGGCCACATTATCCTACATTTTAGAGGAGGGGAAACTGAGTCTGGGAGACTGAGGTTCCAGCTTCCATCTACAGAGCTGAGTCCTAAACCAGGCCCCTCCCACCCCACCCTGCACATCATTACATCACACTTCCCGCCTGCCTGGTTCTCATGTTTGTTCTTGTTCCCATGTGGGCAGAGATATCCAGCAGGAGACCTTCCGGGCCAGCCACGCGCACTGGCGGGGCTTCTCCTTTGTGTACAATCACTACCTGTTCTCGGGCTGCTTCCTGGTGGTCCTGCTCGCCATCCTCCTCTACCTGCTGCGGCTGCGGCGCATTCACAGGCGGGCCCCGCGCAGTGGCTCGGCCACCACCGTCTGGCTGGAGGACGGCCTTCCGTCCCAGAAGATCGCCAGTACCTTATGAACCAGAGTTCGAGCCCCAGAAAGACTCTAAAGGAAAAGCCATTTTTGCCTCAGGGTTTCTCCTCTTCATTCTCATTTGTTTTGTTTTTCCTTTCCCTTTTTGTTCCTTGAAACAAAACCAAAATCCACTGTTCATAAACTCTGCTGTCCTAGAAGCATTGCATTTAGCCGTTCTGTGTCCAGCTTTAAGTTGAGGAATAGGGAAAAGGGAACATCACTTCATTTTTGCTGCATAGGATATCTGCCAAAAATTACTAAGATTTTTGGTTGTTCTCTAAGGTACATTTGATTTTAAACAGATGCACTTTAATACTGGAGGGAAACAGCAGGCTTTTCTCTGTCAGGGGAGGTGGGACCGAGGGGTGACGCTTTCACAGAACCAGAACACATACCGACTGGACTGATCATCCCCTTTTTCTCTCTGTCTCGAAAGCGCTAACCTAAAGAGGGAGATGTTTAGTTTTATTTATTGTTCAGGGCTGTTGCTGTTTGTTTTCTTTGCAGGTTAAAAGAATCAAAACTGTTTATATCCAAAATAGAGAGGTATAGGCACCAAGAGGTAACAGTTTTTAAAATTGATAGTGAAGAGACCTGAAAAATGTGAAAGGATAACCAGAGCGCTGTGTGTGTGTGAGGGTGAGAGTGTGTGTGTGTGTGTGTGTGAGGGTGAGAGTGGTGTGTGTGAGAGTGAGAGTGTGTGCACGTGTGTGTGTATGAAAACCACTGATGGGAGAGAGTGAGGGAGTGCAGTGCTCTCGCTTTTAAAAGCACACACTTCAGAATGCACTGTTGAATTTCATTTAGAAGAATCATTCCCCTTTACCGTTACTTCTTCTGACCACAGGTAGTTACTTTCTTCACACCATCTTTCAGCGGCCTTAGAACACTACGTTTTTGAACTGGAAAATTCATAGTTCACTGGTTTCGATGTCGTTAGAACTGGAGCTGGTGCTTGTCAACAGGCACGTCCTTATTTCTCAGTAGCTCGTTTGTGCTTGTTTAATTGTGCTCCGGTTTCTTCCATCTTCAAGTTGGTATCCCCCTGCCCTCGTATTTCAGAGACCTAGCTTGACTGTCACGGTTGAGGCTGTGCTGGCAGGGCCACTGTAAATCCAAATGAAGAGAAGAACTGAACACAAGAAATCAACTCCCATTTTGAAGAAAACACGTTTGACATTTTAAACAAAAACCTAAAAAGGACAACTGGATTGGCATGTATGAGATTAGTGGTTTTTCACCTATTTGTTTAGTTTAGAAGCTTTGGGAATTCTCATACATAGTTTTTTAGGCGATGTTCTTTTTGTGTGTGTGTGTGCGTGTGTGTGCGCGCACGCGCGCACACAAGCTATCTCTTAACCCCAGAACAGCTAAATTCATCTAGTTGGTGACAAATGTATATTTCGAGAATCATCAACTGCTTTTTTTAAAAATCCATGATGAGAGAAAGAATTCAGGTTCTGAAGCCCTTATTTAATTTAGAAAATATTTTTAGATTTTCATCTCGTCTATTAATTACTTAAAAATGTGGCATACAAGTATATTGATGACTTAAAAGATTACATATTTATGAAAGAAAAGCAAATCCTGTGATTCTGCTCTTCAAAGTGAATATTCTAACAACGGACAAATTATTGGTAGAAAGTTTGCCTTTCAGATATGAAGAAGATTGGAGGAGCTGGTGGTGGAGCATCTGACGTGTAGAGAGACTTGTTTCAGAGAGGATGGAGACAGATGTCTCTCGAAAAATCCAGCTTCTGAAGTGCTGGTCTCCAGCTTTTTAAGTGCTTGGTCCCTGGTAAACACTGTTCCTTTTCAAGACGCAGCCACGCACGAGCTGTGTCATGGGTACCCGAGGGGCGTGGTGAACTGGCGTGCTTCTCCTTGACTTCTTAAAGGAGGCTTTTGCCCTGTGGCCTGTGGGTGGCATTAGTGGCGAAGAAGTAAGTTTACGTGTTAGCTTCTCTGCCGCCAGCCACTTGGAGTAGTAAGGCCCTAACCTGCAGAAAGAACATTTTCCAACGCCTAGAATATGTGACTTGGCCTTTCAAATCAAGGCAAGGATAAGCTAGCATAGGCACAGATCTAAATAGGCCCAAATTAAGACCTCCTGCAATAAATAGCCACTTTTTAAGTAAAGGATGCTAACCTGGTCCAGCTCTGTACCATTTGGGGAGCGCAGTAGAGACCAGCATGGAGGATCCAAGCCTGAGCATCCATCTGCAAGGACCTAACTCACTCTCCAAAAGAAGTCCCCAAATTAGGGTTCCAAGGCCCAGCGGCCTTGTACTTCGCACAGTTCGGTGCCGTGTCCCGTGCCAAAGAACTCCCGGAGCAGGCCTGGCAAACTTGCCCACGGGGAAAATATAGGAGACCCTTGAGCTAAGAATGGTTTTTCAATTTTTAAAGGGTCATTGAAGAAAAAAAAGTGACGGATACACAACAGAGACTGCATGTGGCCTGTAGAGCCTCAAATATTTACTAAGTGTCCCTTTACAGAACACATCTGCTGACCCTGCGTGGAGAGTCCCGTTCAAGAACAGATATACAGCCACGTCCTCTTCATTCAGGAAGGTAGTTACCACCCGTGAGCACAAAAAGAGGGGCAAGAGAAGTGACCAAACTTCAATCTCAAAATAGTTGTTTATGCACCAGAATTTCACTTATCTTTTCCTCTAGATTCTTTTCAAGATCAGTTTTCTAATAAACCAAGTAGCATACTCCTCCTTCCCCCCACCCAAATTTAAGACGTGCTGTTCAGGAGGGCTCACAGTGTTGTGTTCAGATGTCTGCAGTCATGAGAAGGGCTCAGTAGCTTCTCCCCACCCAGCACCAGGGACGAGAAGACGGCCAGGAACTTTCTCTCAGCAATGCAAGCATAGGCTGGGGTGAGAGGCAAACACTGGAGGGGCTTAACTCAGGAAGCAAAGAATATCAATTAAGGGCTGGCCAAGAAGGCAGTAAACTCTGAACACTTTTAGCAACAGAAACAAGAGAAATTGGACTGGTGGGAACTTGCTAAAAGCCTCACAAAGAACGATGTTCTGTGTTAACTCTTGGTGGAAAGACTCCTCCAGTAAACACTTCTGTTCAATCGTCATATCTGTGCTGCTCCTTTCTGAACCTCCAGAGGATGGTCTCGAAGATTTTACAATCCATTTAAAAGTACAGACTGATTTGTACTGGTGGTTTCTGCCCATTTTCACCCTAAACTGCTGGCTTTCTGCAGCACTCCCCACCTCAGGGGCTGGGGAGACGCTTGCTCTCCCATCATCACAGCTGTGCACCCAGGAGGGCAAGCTCTAGATTACCCAGTGTTTAAATTTGAAACTCAGGCCTACATAGAATACTTTTCCTTCTGAGAAGCATGCACCACTTAGCAAGAAACTCCAACAGGCAAATGTGTTTTCCAAGCTTTTAAAAAAAATCAGCTTTAGAATTTTGTGTGGTAATGTGCAATGCAGCAGAACTACCTATGAGTAAATTATTTAGTTATTTATTTCTATTTCAGGGTTTTGTTTTTTATGATTTTTATTGATTTTCCCCTTCTGTAATGAATGATGTGACCAACCAAGGAGAATTCTTTGTTCTGTTACTAAGATTATATTTTACGTTTAGGAGTTATACAAACTAAGGGAGCATCTTTAAATGTTTTTTATTTAAATGATGTTTTCCATTCAAAGAATAATTGTCTTCGGGAGATGGTTGTGGTGTCTATCACTTTCTATATTTGGCAACCTCACATTGCCACACTCCACATGGATGAGTGTCGAGAATAAAAAGTTCATTCGATGGCCCACAGACTCTGTGTGAGCTTGCTTTCTTGGGATTTAAAGAGATTTTTCTCTGATGTTTGAATCATGTTACCTGTTAGAATGCTTAGTTGAACTTGAATCTACATTCAGTAAAATAAATTGTCTGAGTCTGACTGCGCACTCCATGCCTTTGCTGTATCTGGCGTGCATGTAGTGAAGCTCTGCTGTGTGCGGGTTTCCCTGTGTGCAGGGAAACCAAGCATTTCACAAGGAGAAATATATACCATGGCGTAATAGCAACCCCTTCATCAACAACAAAGGCCATCCTGAGACTATTGTTTTTAAGGTTATCATTTTAAAGTACCCGTTAACTATATATATACGTACAAGGAAAAGAAAAGAAATTATCCAACCTTACGTATTTTGTCTTATAAATAGTAAAATCATTGCTGCCAGTTTTGCAATTAGATCTAAGCTTAAAGCCGTTGGTTTATTTCTAGAGAAACATGAATCCCGTTGTTCATGTTGCTGACAACTGTGAGACGCTGCCCCTCTTCTTTAGCTATTTGAGAATATATAAATAGAGCTTTTCCTGCAGGAGGAAGGGCCTGAGCCATAACCTGAAAATAGATAATAGAGACAGATGGAAAGGGAAGGGGACTGGCTGTTAAGAACAACAAAATAGGGGCGGTCCTACTTGAGATTGGGTAGTTAAGCAGGGCCTCTTTGAGGAAGCCAGCTTTAACCAGAAAGAGAAGCTGCCTGCAGGTAGGACCCTAATTTCCTGCTGGCAGCATGAGAACAGTTACTATCCATACATCCCTTGAGAATGAAGTGGATATACGTCAGGGATGTCTACACTGTGATTGTACCTAAAATTTCTTTCCAGTGATTTCTTTCATTCTCCTTTGTCAGTAATTCCCAAGAAGAATCAATTCTGGCAAAGAAAAAAAAAAAGAACAACAAAAATAAAAGCAGGGAAGGCTCGGGGGAGGCAGAACCAAATGGGAATGTGGGCGTATGGTGAGCGCAGGAGTGCGGAGCCCCAGCCTGTGACCACGGAAAGGAAAGAAGAATAATGTTAAAAGAAAACCTGCTTAAATAATTTTTGAGGCAATGCAATAAACGTAGGCCTCTGTGTCTAAGGGTAAATACATTAAAATATACCAAAGGCATCTAAAGATGGCTACAGTTTATTCCATTTCTTAGGGAAGAAGTAAAGTACCTGCTTCCAGTGGTTGCCCCTGTTAACAGATCTGCAAGGCAGCAGTTCTGGGTTTTGGTTTGTTTTTCATCTGTTTCCATTTGCCCCAAGAGTCTGGAATGCACAAGTGGATCTTTTTTTTTTTTTTCCTGAGATCCCAAAATGCTAATAG